CATAAAACATTGAGAAATCAAGCTTATATTGACCTCAAAGCTTCATCCCTACTGGCTAGCTTTGATACTGCTGGAAGGGCTATGAGTGCTACCAGAAGAGAAAAATAATCATCAGCCTTACTCAGCTCTGAACCCTGCAAGCTACACTAACAACTGCCCTCGAAAATATATCCACTGGTGCAATAGTGGCCCAAATTTTACAGGAGTAACAAGCAACTTTCTGATTGGACTTACTACTTCACAAGATGGGCCCTTACCTGGCACTATTATCAGGTCAAGAACCTGTGACTACACAGATCATAGTCTCTAGGGTTGATCTTACTTTTATTCTGCTAAATGGACACAGTATTAAACCAATTCCTAATGGCTTATCATTATACCCATAAATTAGTGCATCTCTTATCAGAGAACTCCCCCCCCCAAACTGGTCAACATGCAGATCATAAGAGACTGCACAATACCAAGCCCTAACTGGGACATTTATAATAAACCCTCCTCCTCTGAAGTTTTAGGGATCATTGTGGAAGAGTAGAAAGATTCTAAGAGTCAAAGATGATGAATGACTACAGAACAGCAGTGTTTTCCAGAGACAGCAGAGTAGTTTCATCTATGAACCCACAGTAGTTGTGACAGCATGCATAAGACTAGAGATCAAGCCAGACAAAATCCTAGCATGGAAGGATGAGGTAGGTATGAAACTCTGGCTCTTGTTTGTTTCTGTAACTCCAGCACATGGTGAGAACTTGATGAAATTGTTAAAGGAAATCATATAAAAAAGCCAAGGACTGTGATGTTTTATCTGGTACCTCATATGAGCTCATTTCTATAAAAATGCACTGCCTCTGAGACCATTCTCTTTTTCTTGTTCAAGCTGCCATATTTTTTGTCATATTCTTATTCATCGTTTAACCAGGAAAATCCATTTGGAGTCAGTGGCCAGTGACAGAGGAGGGGGGCTTGTCCTGGAGGTTGTATTCTGCCCACCCTAATTCCATCCATCTCTTGTCTGAGACCCACAGCTGACCTGCAAGTGGTTGCACTGTTAACCAGTCTAATTCCTCATGCCAGCAGTCTGATGTTGTTTCCTCCTATTCCAAGCCCTCCCCTAATCCCCAGGCCTGAGCCTTTGGTAGTCAGGGCTAGTGTATGATTCACAGAGAGCAAGCCCTGCATTCTGGAGATCCAGCTTCCCATTTGCCTTCTTACTTGTCTTGTTTCAGTTGCTTTCAGTGCTAACTAGAGAACTAGCCCTAATCCTAACCATAAATTATGCATTAACCCCAGGCCTAGCATTAGCTCTGGTTTTAGCCCTACCCCCAGCCCTAGAACTTACCCTAGACCTAACCCTAACCCACTCCCTAACACTAGCCTTAAGCCTAAACCAAGTCCTAATCCTAGACCTAGCTCTAGGCCTAAACTAAAACCTAACCGTACCCTAGAAGTTATCCCAACCCTAACCATACCCTAACTGGAGCCCTAACCAAGTTGCAACCCTAACCCTAATACTAACATTAACCTCGACCTTTGCCTATTTCTGATGTTTTCAACATTTTTGACTCTTTAATGAAACTGGAAGAGATGGTAGTGGAAAGACCACAAGGAAGGTGGTCAGTCCTCCACCTGCCATGGGAGAGGAACTGGTCAGTGCTTTGCCTGCAGCAGGTGCCCACATTTTTTATGTTGGATCTGGGTGTGCTTATGCTCTAGGGACCTCATGTCTGGCAATAGAGGGTCAGGGACTATGCCTCCCTGTTTCCAGGTGCTTATTTTCATGAGTCTTAAGTTTCCTGCTGCTCTGGCTAGTCTGTTTTTGATATGTTTGATTAGATAAGCTTCAATTTAATTGTAGTTAGTGTTCATTTGTGCCTGTCCTTGGCCCAGAGAAGGTTCTCAGCAGCCCTATGAGTTTGTATATATTTCTGGACTGTCTTCTGTAAGTCTGAATTACAGTTTTAGAGTCTGGCCTGACACATTTTAAATGAACTCTCCTGTGCTTCTATATTCTATGTGTATGCAGAAGTTTTTGTGATGAGAAAAATTCAAGTTCACTTTAAAAATGTTACTAAATTAAAGTTCTTTTTGTTGTACTACATTTAAAACTATCAGATTGTAGCCCCCAACATTTTATGATGTGGAAAATACTTTTTAAACTCTTATGTCCCAAATGATATATACTTTTCTTCTATAGCACTGTGCCAAAGATCTGATGCTATGGTATATTGTTTAGTTTCCTATCATTCAAAAATATATTTCCCATCTTTTAGCTGCTGATATAAGCAATAATTGTGATAGAGAGAATGGTAGCATTTAGGAAACATGAAGAAAAATTATTATTAAACAATCTCAGCTATTTTGAAGGAAGTCTGAAGTACCAAATAATGACTGCTTTGATTTGTCTACTCTTCAATGAACTGAGACAAAAGTTCATTAAAGTACACTTGACATTTTTAGTCCACTGCAGCCTTATTGAAAAAATGGTCCTAAGGGTGATAAGAATGCTGACAAATTGTACTCTCGGTCTTCTCTAGGATTACACCATTTTCCGAATCAGAAGATTCTGCAACATGTTTTTCTTTTATTTTTTGTTTTGTTTTTATTTTCCCCTTAGAAACAATCCATTTGGGTTCATTACATGGCCATTTTTTAGTCGAGGGCATTATCCTTGTTTGTAACTACAATGAAATCATACTAGTCTGGGTCTGCCATAAGTCACCAGGAGATCCTGCAGCTGCTTAGTGAACAAGCAGTGCAAAGGTCATACTGATGTTTTAGGCCACAACCCGTGTTCTCCCAGCAAGAAGACCAGATCAGCTTGGATGTGCTTACTACTTGCTGTGCATAGATATCAGTATGTTTAATGTCTAAAAATGCTTAGTATTCTCAGAGAATGTTAAGGTATGAGATACACTTTCAAAAGTGGAACACACCTGCTTACCTAGCACCTACATCTAGAGAGTATGACCAGCACCCTATAAGCTCTCCTTGTGTCCTTTTCTTGTCACTGGTCCTACTCAACAAAGGAAACTGATTTCCTTTTGCCTTGGTTTTTTATTTTATGTAAATGGAATTATACACCATGTATTATTTTGTATCTAGCTTCTTTCATTTTTCGTGTTGTTTATGAGATTTATCCAGATTTATCATGTATTGTGTTAGTTCATTCTTACTGTTGTGTGCTGTTCTATTCATGGATACAATTTAATTCTACTGTTTAACAGGCATCTGGATGCTTTCCTTTTCTGAGGACAAGGCTATTAATATTCTGTTATGACTATTGTAGAACGTGTCTTGGTTAAGTGTACACACATACACACACACACATACACACACACACACACACACACACACACACACACACTCATACGTCTGGGTACACCATACAGCTAGGAGTAGGATTTCAGGGTCATGGGCTGTGTATATGTTCACATTCCATGGGTAAGATGATTTCCCATAGTGGTCATTCGTACCTACCTTCATACCAGCAATGTACCATTCCAGTTGCTCCCCCTCCTCACCAATATTTTACATTTTCTGTATTTTTCATTTTAACCATTTGGTAGCTACATGCTGAATGTGGTATACTTTATATTTCTGTTATAGTAATGATCCTGGGTACCTTTTGTGTTATTAATCGTAACATATTTGTATTTTTATGTGTATATGTGAATTATCTGTTCAAGTCTTTGCTAATTTTTCTATTGATTAACTGTTTGCTGTTGTTTCACAAGAATTCTTTATACAACCTGGATATAGGTCCTTTATTGCATGTGTGTACAGAGAATATTTTTCTCCCTGTAGACTGACTTTTACTCTCCTTGAATGAGCAGATATTCCTGACTTTAATAAAGTAATTTTGTTTTTTTCTTTTATAATTTATGATTTTTGTGTCTAATTAAGAAATTGTTGCCCACTCTAAGTTGAGAAAGCTGTATTTTTTCCAAGTCTTTATTTAGTTCTATAATTATCTGACAAATATTTGCATATTATATGATGTATAGAGAACAAGACATATTTTTATATCAATATCTTTTTTACTTAGCATCATTTTGATTGGTTTTCAACTTGTTGGAGATGTGTTCATAAAATTTTTTCACTAAAGGTCTGGGATGTGGCTTAGTGGTAAAGTTCTTGTCTAGTTAGTACTTGAGAGGCCCCAGGTTCTACCCATAGGAAAAAGAAACGTTATGTCTTAGTTCCAGGGAAATGTCTTTCATATTTTAAAAGAGAATTACTAATTTTTCTTAAAATTGTTTAAAATTGATGATGACTTGGGGCTGGAGAGATGACTCCTGGGTGTTCTTCCAGAGGACCCCGGTTTGATTCCCAACACCCACATGGGGGCTAACAACTGTCCTTAATTCCAGTTCCAAGGGAACTGACACCCTCACATGACCTCTGTGGGCATTGCACACCTGTGGTGCACCTCCATACATATAGGCAAAACACACATATACATAAAATAAAAATAAATAAATACATTTTAATTCTGTTAAATTAGATCTAGATTTTGAATCTGGCTACTTATTTATTCAACAGCAAAGTAATTTATAATGTGAAAAGCAAAGTCATTTTAGAAATAAATTATTGTTCCTATTTTTTTATTTGAATTAAATTTGACATGTTTATGAAGTATCTTTTAGAACAGTAATCTGTTGTGAATTTGCTTGAAGTTTTGAGCTCCATTTTATGTCATTTTGTCTTTAAGACACATAAAATTATTAAGCACCTTTCAACAATAACAAATTCTTTCACTGCTCAAAATTATATTAATAGCCAGGTATAAGGGGTGGGCTTTCATTAGTTTTAGTGACCATAATAATCCCTCTATACAAAATTTTTTCAGTATAAATGTCATATATAAAAATATATACACAAAATAAAAAAAATAAAAATGTAGACACAAAAGTATAAAACTTTCAGTCTTCTTGTGTGGAATGCCTATTAGTGTGTCCTCTTTGATATCAATTTACACAGTGTTTTCCTCTTCTTATTTGTTCTAGGTAGTTCTGGTCAGTGGACATCTGGACAGCTGGGATGTTGGGCAGGGCGCCCTAGATGATGGTGGTGGAGCCTTCATATCATGGGAAGCACTCTCACTTATTAAAGATCTCGGTAAATACTTAGAAAATCTTTAACCAAGATGTGAAGAACTCAGTAGTGCCTTGTTTAACTCTGTATACAAACTTTGTACTGGGTTAGTTAACTGTGGTGTGTTCAAAGATGGTCTGAGGTTTATATAGTTTTTGTCAGTTTATTACCAGAAAAGAGCTAACGTAATGTCCTCTTAAAGAAAGACATAAGTGTACTTCTAGACATGCAAATATTATTGTCAGCCACTGACATGAAGAAGCAAATAAAACTAGAGAAAATATAATCACATGAGCTGGAGACCATGACCAAGTGCAAGAAACATCAATGGCTCTCTCTGTTTCCTTTTCTTTCCTCCAGTGAAGATAGTACCAAGCTGTTAGATCGGTGGAAAAAGTCAATCATCTTTCCATGATAGAAATCAGGGAGTGGGTTAGGAGTGACATAAAAATGATTCCTGTAGCCTCAGTAGGAATTGAGGCTAAGAAACTAGACCTTCCAGTACACATAGATATGGCTAAGATATGCAGGTATTGAAAGGTATGGCAAATAGTAAATGTAGCTTATTTTGTTGACCATATTTACAAACAAAAAATACACATTTCTTTTTGATGTGGAAAATCAAAAAGGTGGATTTTGAGTGTGGTTGGAAATAACAGAGTAGTCTAAATCAAGAGTCCTGTGTCTGAATTAGACAGTGGTGGTTTTGTGGTGCCTCATCGGCAGAATGCCCTGGACTTAGTTTTGTTTCTCTTGAAGTGAAGATCAAAACATTCCATTGCTTATTTACGCACATCCAGATCTATAGCCATGCTTTTCCTGCCACTTTGCAGGGCATTCTACTCTTGTACATAGCCAATTAAAAATTGCTCATCTGGGATGAGGCTCACTGAGTTGTTTAGAATGTGTACTTACCATGTGTGAAGCCATAGCTCAATCTCTAGCACTTCATAAAACTGGATGTAGTAGTGCATGCCTGTAACTCCAGCACTCAGGAAGTGGAAAAGATGGTTAAGAGTTCAAAGTTAGCCAGACATGGTGACACATGCCTTTAATCCCAGTACTCTGGAAAAAGAGCAGGCTGATTGTGAGATCAAGGCCAGCCTAGTCCACATAGTGAGTTCCAGGCCAACCAGATAGGGCTGCAGGAAGACCCTGCCTCAAAAAAAGGAAAAAAAAAGAAAAAAACTTCAAATCATCTTCAGCTACATAATGAATTCAAAGCTAGCTAGCCTGAACTATATGAGACTTAGTCTCCAAAAAATATTGCTCATCTTCTTAATAGTAGATTGCTGAAATGTGAAATGATCTTATATATATTTTAAGTAAATCTTTGACATACTATTTTAATTTGTATTTTACTCGTGTTTTAAAATGAAGAAATGGAAAAACTATGTACTTTTCTTTACTTGTGTTTCTCAACCTTGGCGCTGTTGACATTTTGGATCAGATCCTGGTGTGAGATTTCACAATATCCCCAGTCTCTACCCTCTGGTTGTCACTGCCGTTCACACCCCTAAAATGGTAGTGATGAAAATGTCTCTGGATGCTGCCAGATTTCATTGGGGTGGAGGACAGAGGCAATTGCCCCAGTGCGAAAAATATTTAAATAAACTAATAAAAAAAAAAAACCCTAGATAACACATGGGATCATGTTTTCATAAGAAAAAAAAATTGGAAATCTTAGATTGTATGCACTTATCATTGCATCATCATTACCATACATGACAGAAAAGATGCACTGAGCACCCACTGCCCTTTCTGTAAAGCCTTTTATATAGGCTAGGCACACAGAGAAGTTTAGAGTCTGTTTTCTGCTAGTAAGAGGCTTAGAAGAGAGCTAGAGATTTCCACATACATTATGTGTATGATTATAAGCACAGGCACAGTTTCAGAGCCTTTTAGAACTGGGAAAGGTTCAAGAGAATTGTCCAACAAATAAAATGCAAAATACATTCCTTCAGAGGTCTAGAAGATTCTGTGCAGATTCTTTCCTCCTTCCCATCCTTTGGTGACCTCTCCTTTTCCCGCCTTACATCATTCCAGAATAAAATGTGTTCTAGAAGAAAACATGCAAGAGTCAAACATTTTTTCTTATGGAGCACAGATATTTATTTTGGAAATTAATTTTATTTCAGTGTGCTTAACCAATTTGGTTGAAACTGGAGTGGTGAAATAAAAAGAGAAACCAAACTTATCTGAATTGACTTTTAGGTCACCGTGTTCTACAAACTACTTTCTTGGCCTCAGGCAGGTCGTCTGAACCCTCCGGACTTCATTTTACTCATCTTTATTCAACTGTAAGCTTTCAGAGTATTTTAATTTCTCTAGGTTGAAACAAAAATTGTATCTTCTGTAGGTGTTGAATCTCTGTGTTCTGATAGCCAGCATGGGACCCTAAATCACTGTTAATTGAGTTCAGTTCAATTGCAGGGATAAATGTCACACAGCATGCAGAAGTGAACAAGTTATCTTTTTTACCTAGCTCTGAAAATACTGAGTTCGGTTTGCTTTTGATAGCTCCTGGTGAGTTTTTTCAATTCAGGATTTAGATCTTTGAAAGCTTTCTGAAAACGTATGCAAACATATGAATAAAACTGCAAAATAAAGAGTGACGCTTCTTTTGAGTATGCGTTGTGAGGCAGCAGTGGTGGTAAACAACTTAGGATATGGGACCACACCATCTGGGTTCATCTCTCAACTCATCAACTTCCTAGTTGTTGAACATTGACCTTTGGCAACTTCCTTTGTCTCTTTCTGCCTCAGTTTTCCAATCTATAAAATGAGGACGATAATAGTTATCTCACGTGCTTGTTTTGAAAATTAAATGAATCATTGATATAATGAAGTTGGATTAAGGCCTGGACCAACCCAAGTTCTCAATATATGTTAACTATTATGACTTAATAAGGATGACTCTGAAAAATAACTTTTACTTGAAGAAGATGATGCTTTTCAACCTCCACCCCCATTAGTGATTATTCTGTCTTTTTAATATTTTAGTTATACCTATGCAACTTCAGAGCCAGCAGCTATGGCATCCCTAAAATATCCTTTCCCATTGCCATTTAAAACACCATTTGCTGAATAATGGGCCCAAGGATTCCTTCACTTTTTCCATGTTTGTATGAAACTTTATGGAGTCTTAGCTTTCTTCTGGTCACTTCCAGTACACATGTTCTGTTTATACTGAATGTGCATCAGTATCATAGGAGGTGCTGCTCAGTATCTACCCTCTACTTCACTGTCTATGATTGCACCCACTGAGTCTTAGTATAAGTCAAAATTCAACTGTCGATTTCTGTTTGTAACTTGTCTTAGATGAGCGTTAGTGATATACTTAGCAAGAAATAGCGCCTCAGAGGCTGAGAATATAGCTCAGTGGTAGTGTGTGCTTAACACGTCTGTGAGACCCTGCATTTGATCCTCAGGACTACTAAAAAGAAAGAAAAAAAAGTAGAAGCTTGAGACCAAAACAAGATTATATTATTTAATTACATTGAGCCTAAGCTGTTTAATTGGTGAAATATGAAAACTCCGTGGAAATCTTTTTCCAAGAAAAATGACACTCCTCTTGGATGTTCTTCCTTGCATGAGATGTCAGGTGGCTTGTTAATTTGAAGTGTTGGTCCAGTGAGGCATTCTGATATTTGAGAATCTTTTTCTAAGATTTACCCTCCTGCTATCTTCTTTGTCCTGCTCCTTCACAAAGCTTATAGATTCACTCTTTTGCCCAAGCCATCAGCCTAAATTATATTCAATTAATCTAATAAGATATATGTGCTTTGTAAATATTATCAGTCATTTCTAAGTAACTGTCAGCAGAAGGCTATTTGCTGTGAAGTGGTGTTGAATCCTTTTTTGTGTGTGTTTGTGGTTTACTGGATATGAAACTGTTTATTTGAAATGTCATTTCCTGGAATGTTCTGTTGTCAGTGGACAAAGCCTGTGGCCAAAAATGCAGCATTTCACAGTGTTCATTTGGCACTTGAAAAACAAACCATCACCCATTCCAAAATTCTGCCGTTTTATTATTTTCTGTGAATTTTGGGTTTTCAAACATAAAGAAATTAGAATGAAGAGTGCCTGGTTATTGAAATGTGGGATATATAAAAGCATCTTTCTAAAACTGCTAAGTGTGAGCACTCTGTGATTATTATATAGCATGGAAATATGTCTCTGGGAAAACATTTATTTGTATGCTCCTTTACACACTTACTCTACAGAGATTTGATGTGTGTTGACAGCGTGTCCATATCCAAGTTGCCTATACCAAAGGGAAAGAAGATTTGGCCCTTTGTATTCTTGAAGTGGAAGAGATATTTGATTCAAAGACTGCCATGAAATTTTTATAGGTTCTTTCTAATGTAGCATGTACAGTTACTTTGGGTACCTCTTGAGGGAAGGGTGTAGCATAGTTTGGCTGGGGCAGAGCAATTTCAGCAAGGTGATACTTGAGCTTTCTTTAATAAAGATAAATAAATATGAGTTCCTGAAGGGGAAATGAAGAATTTTTGTCAAAGTATATAGCTTCCAGCAATGTGCATATTAAAAACAAGGAGAAAATTGTTGTCAGTAGCAGCCTTCGGGTGGTGGGAGGATGGGTGACAGAATTACAAGAGCTGCCCACTTTTCCTTGATATGTTTCCACACCATCAGATTCTTCTGTAACAGACATGTTTCACCCTTTAAAATATTTCTATTGATTCTTCTAGAATTTTATACAATGTATTTTGAGCCTATTCAAACCCAGCCCCTTAGAACTCCTCCTCCATCCCCTCTCAGACCCATCCCCACCTTCCTACACCCTTGACTTCTCCTTTATTCTTTGGCAAAGGTATATTGAGTCTAATATGTGTTCCCCAAATGCTCTTGGGTGTGAGTCCAGACCCTTAATTCTTGTAAACCTTCCCAGCATCACACCCTAAAAGAAAACTAATTCCCCATCTCCCAGAAGCTATCAATTTCAATAGTTTCTCAACTATGACCAGAACGTCTTGCCCACCTCCCTTCTCCATGCTGGG